TATTCCAGTAGGAACGAGTTTCCTAAATGATTCCAGTGCACAACTCCATAAATGCGAAGCACAGTTGACAGTTAATGGTTTCAAATTATAGAGTTGAAACATCTCGGATTACCGCCATTTCTGAGTAGTGGTGTTATGAAACATCAAGATGAGCAATTACGCTTCTTGGTGATGCCTAAATACGGTCGTTCATTGGAGAATTATCGTGTTGATCGCGGTGGCGTTTTGGATTGCAGCGAAGCATTCACAGTCGCAAAGCAATGTGTGAACTGTTTAGAATATATGCATCACAAAGTATACTTTTTGATTGATTTGTTATCAATTTATCGTGATTATTGTTCGTATTGGTATTACTCCCACTGACACAACGTGTGAGCATTATAATAACACTAATATTGACAGTGTGAGTAATGATACTGATAATAATAATTGTGTCTTATTTTGATGCGAATAGAGTTTAGGAGATGAGATTTGAGGAGTGAACTGCTTCCGAGAATTTATCGTTATCGTTGGGTGTATATCGTGGTTTTTTATTCTTAAGATTATTATTTTTATTGTTGAGAGGGTCTGTTTATTCATTGATCTGTAGGTTACGCTAACCTGTAATTGACAAGTTTGTTCAAGCTAATTTGTCCAAAATTTAGAATGATGGCACAATTTTAGCACATTTAATCAATTATTTGAATAGCATTATGGTCAAAGCGTTTCGAAATAATGAATCTTTCATTTAGAATTATGTTCACTCGGATGTGAAGGCGGATAATATATTATTACCGTTGAACGATTCAATTGAGCAGTGCTATTTGGTTGATTTTGGACTGGCACGAATCGCGAAATCAAACGTTGAAGTCGCTGATAAGAAACGAGGTTGTTCTGATTGCACGATTTTGCCGAATGATTTTTTGCCCCTTCTTTACACAGATTTTTCTGGTTGTATTGCATGTGAAAAATTCATTCAGTCACGATGCTTGCGGAAATTTGAGCGAAGTGCATTGCGGTGCGGAAGTTACCTCACACTTTTGTTTATTGATTAATTTCATTCTTCATTTTATGAAAAGCTGTGAATAGAATGGATCATCCGAATGTTGTTCATTGCACAGTTTGAGTCGAATTAGGTTTAAGTTGATTGCTTGCACAATGTGAATATGAAC